TTTTGGTTATATGTGTATCTGGATAAGGCAGGTAAAATACACGTAGCGACAAGGGAGTACCGACCTCTAGACGGACACATTTCAAGGGGAACGATTGAAGGTTTAATGAATCCGATAGACTACATGTAGAACATACCGCGCATTAATTTACAGTAGTAAGCGAAAAAACTAGTAACATTTAAAAAAAAAAACAGTAAACGGATATGACAAGGAAACGGTAACCAATTTTATTTTGTGCAAAATTTTTAATTGTTTTTTTTTGCACTTACGAATGAAACGAATGTAAATAATAGATTAATATCGTAAATTATTTTAAAATTTCATAGTCTGACGCCCAAAAATATAGATTTCAAAGTATTTCCGTGACCGCTTACCCCTAAACCATTGATAGTTCAATGACCTGCATAGCTCCTGGTAAAGTCCCTTGACTTCATGGGGTGCGCGTCGCATGGTGCATTCGCTGTCTCGCTCCTTATTATATCGTGTCGTGACAGTTCTTTGTTTCACTACCATGGTTTTACTCAAATTTCTCTTAACTACAAGATTATCACTTCAATTGTTCTAGAATTCCGTATCAAAAACACACTTATATACCTACTTCGTATTTTCAAAATGTAGCCAAAAAATTTTTCCACAAAATTCCGTAGAAATACAAATCGATACAGTCTATAAGTCTGAAATTAATCTGAAAACTACAACTCTTTCGACAGTTATTATTTTGTTTTTTATTTATATTTATCACACTTACTAGATGACATAATAATTACGTGTTTAAATAATTTTGTAATTTACATTGGACAATACTGAGCTGATATAATATACAATGTAACGTATTTTGAACGCAAGTAGGTTAGTGAGATAAGTTAAGTTGATAACTTTGTTCCATTTTACGGAAGCCATTAATTTTCGAATAGTTGTTTTTTAAACAAAACTCTCAAAGATTTGTTTGTAAACATGCATTAGTTGACAAAGTATGTTTTGAAATACGAGCGCCCATGCCGGCCACGTGACAACACCACAGTATCGGTACTCGGCGTCCGTGCTACCCTTCTCTCCTCCCACACCTTAACTCGAAATCGTACCTAAATAAGAAATAATTCATAGAAAACAGTACACGTTGTTCCTTTGCCAACTACGCTCTCGAACGCTATCGAAGCGCATATTTCAACTACGCCCTTAAAACAGAGATGGTACATGACAGAAAATCGTGATAAGTGGTGCACACAATAATGCACTGTGCCGTTGATCACTGGCCCAGTTTGCACGAAATAGACTTTTAGATAGGAAGAATCAGCACAAAGTACAAACCGTCCATAAATGTACCGGTCCGGTATCACGGCACCACGCAACGACAGCGCGGCTCGTTAAAAGGCGTCTTCCTCAATCTAGCATTAGAAGGAGACGCCACGAAAACATCTTGTTTGCCGTGTGCGTGTCCACAAGGAAGGTCATGCAAGCGCAATAGAAGAATATGTGCGCTTATAGGCAAAAGAGAGACACAATGAAAACAAATCAATATCATCTCTACGTGTGACGCGGTAGAACGAGACAGCGCAACAACAAACCGGCATCTCATGCCGGCTCGCCTTACATCCGCATACGAAACGCATAGACGACTCTAATGCAACCGAATAGAATATAAATTCACGGAAAATTACTTGTTTACAAGCTTTTGTAACTACGAACCGCGCCTTCTAAAATAGCTTAGTTCGAATTAATTGGAATGGCCATTGCATAAATTATAATCTATCGAAATAGATTAGACTACAAAACAATATAAATAATACTAAAAATCCTAAAAATTACAATACTTACACAATATGTGTCAATTAATCTTGTTATACGCCGGCTGTTCAACAGTACGCTAACTAAAAATTTAGAAATTCTAAATAGGACATTCACCCGACCTAAGCATTGCCTGAATTCATTGACAAATTAGAATGATAGGTTTAAAACCCGTTAGGTTCGTTTACCGCAAGTTCACGCTTCATTGCGCATTTCTTTGTTCAATTTGTCGTTAATTTACATATCAATGTAGAACAACACTTAAATTTAATTGATTACAAATTCATAATATGTACATACTATAATTATATACATATTATGTACTTACCTATACATGTACAATACATAGACCCTACATGGCATGCTTCGAAATTTCAATTAAAATATTTTAAATGACCTTTAAAATCTATATGGCTGTTCTTTAAAGTTATCATTTAAAGTTAGATTTAATTTTTGTCTACTACATTTTTGGTAAACCCACTAAGCTATTGTAATGTTTATCCTTTCTTACTAATTAATTCGTGAATAAAAAATCTACTTTTATACATAAATAAATATAAATTGTGGTAAATTACGTTATAAGCTTTACAAAAAATACTCGTTCTATTAAGTATGAACTATAAAATACTAATGTTTTTTTATACCAGTGTTGAAAGCAAAATGATGAACCCCAGAAACATGTTTTATCTGCATTGTGTTATTCATTACCACCCATCGCACACAATATTACGATGCATACACATGTATATTATGATGCATAGAATACATGCACTGAGCTTGCATTGCGTTGCACGCTACATTGGCACACAAAGACAACGGGCGGCACGTGTAAGCGTACATACAACACACTAGGAAATTGTAAACCATATTCCGATTCGATGCACTGTTCACTATTAAATTATCTAAACAATTGTTTCTGTTACGAAATGGCTTTAAATTATCAAGAATCATTACATATTATGGCACAATACACAATTTAGTAAGTAAAATACGTAAACCTTTTAATTAACAATATATATTTAAAACAGTATGATATTGTATGTGATTTTGCATAATATTTTGATAGCTGTGTACAATTTTATTGGATCGAACTATTTTGAAATGACACGAAAAAAATTATCCGACGTGAATTCGCGTTTCATGAAAAAATATAATTTGCATAATTGAAATTAAAATATGTTATTATAATTTAACTCTTTAGTGAAGGTAAATACCATAAAACAAAACACCGTTAAACATCCATTTAAATATTAATACAACAAAATTGAGTTGTGAAAGTAGGTCAGTGGTGCAGCGTAGGGAACGGGTCACCCTCCTGAAAACACCCCCGCCCGCCCCTTGCGGGAGGGCGAGCCAATGTTGAAATCAACCGCCTTCATCGCTTGCCAACAAATTACTCCTTGACATTAGCCTTGCTTTCTTCAATACGAGTAGTTTTAACTAAACATATTTCGTTCATTATTTTTAAATAAACTTCTCTATACGATACTCTAGTTCTTTATCACAACGACCTCAATATAAATATAATTAAACTTATGCATCCTTACTAATATCATAACTAAGAAAGTAAACGGTTATCGGTTATAATTTTTCGCAAAAAAAAAAGATTTTCGGTACTATTTTTAACCCTGGGGAAGAATATACTTCTTTTCGTTTCATTTGTGAGCACAGATCTCCGGCCACGCGATATGAAATGTAGTCCACGCGGACGAAACTGTCAGCGGAAAGCTGTTTAATAATGAATCCAAATTTGATACGCAAAAGGGTAAACATAATAATTTGGCATTGATCCGCATTCCATTGCAAAGTCCCGCAGCATTGAACCAGTATAGAAAAGACTACACACAACACAAGCCTACGATCGTATTTCCGTCTAAAGCAAGAATCCAGTAACATCACTGGTGACCTTACACTGTCTTATGCATAGGTTAATTATAATATTATTATTAGCTAATTAAACATTTAAGTAAAAACATAATATTATTCATTTTGAATTCAATGTTGGCGGTAAAATAAATAAATAATCAAGACCTCATTATTTCAGATGGTAGGTAGGTGCTTAATGTATGTATTAGTAAATTACAACAACACCGTGAATACCGAGCATGCGTCATTTATTTTGACCATTGATTTGCCACTGACGTAATATTCCGCACACGTCTGACGCCATCATTGTTGTTCTACTTTTCAAACAAAGAAATTAAATTGTAAATGTAAAAAAAAATACACAGACTTATTTCTGTGCAATGTATACAACGGTACATTTTAATTAATTAAAAAATTTGAAACTCGTCTAAAACTGTATTTTACTAAGAGACAAAAGAACGCAACCTTCGCAGACCACCCTTGGCCGTGGTGCTGCGACCTAGTTCGTGGCCTTTCGTCATCCTCCTCCCCTCCAATCCTCCCTCGCGCTACCTCGTTTCCTCGTGACCTGACCTACTTGTAATTATGCACTTGATACAGCCACTGGCACCATTACTCCAGTTTGGTTATCTTATACTCTGCACAAATAACAAAATACATAAAATTTATCCAGCGAATCTTATAAAGCGTAATGCTACAACTGAACTTGCAATTAGCGTTACGAAATGTACGATAAATGTGAAAGGTATTATCGACACCTGGCAACAAGGACCGTAAAACATCAGACATGTCGCCCAACCCTGGTTTCCGAAATAATATGACATTGAACAGAAGGTCGATGCAGAGAACTTTGGCAAGCAACGCTAACCGCGACCCCGCGCGGTTGCCTCGTCACGCTTCGTTTGCCCTCCTTATTGTCTTACGTTATCATTGGCATCCATGATGAAAATTCGTTGATAGCTTATTAAATCTCGAGTAGCATTATTTAAGGTCATATCAAACTAGGAATTACTGCTGTAGTGTTTGCGGAACAATATATTATGTAGATACGGACTCTGCTCATGTTTAGCGCAGGAGGGCTACTAGCATGCCAGCGACAATTCTACAACAAGGCCGTCGCTCGACCTACAATTGCTTCCGCCTTCACAATATCACCGCTAAATTTTGACCACGACTTACTTTCATTCCGTTAAATATTTTATATTTCTAAAATCGTTATAATATTACATTCCCAACACTACATAAGATAATTATTTTGCTTTGGTTTCAATTAAACTGTAATCAAGAGAACGTAAGCACAATTAGTACGAATACGGTGATTAAAAATTTTCCTTTTTCTTTTGTTTCAGATCAACAGCGTTGTATTCGTTTGCACATGGCGAGGCTGCGGCTACAACACTAATACATGCTCTGATATTGAAGCACATATCAGACACTCACATTTGGGGTAAATTATATTATAATGCAATTTAAATCATAAATATTTTATACTAAATTCATTGAGATAATAAACTGGCAACATATGTGGTGATTTAAAAAAAAAAAACTCAAATCCCTTGTCCGAAGTTCCTGTTCGTAGGAAAGATACTGTTGCTAAAGTTATATACTATAATTACGTGAATTATGACAAACAAATAAACACATTAGAACATAGTGCGGCGATCACGTTTGGCCGGTCACGTGTAACTGCATCCACGTGCAGTCTTTATTGCGCAATGCCAGCTGGCAAGGTTGAACGGTGCAACTAGCTATAAGCATTTCCTTATCTATATTGCTATGTGCATACATCAAATGGAAATATCTTCTAAATCAGCAAATAAATCTGCACATAATTCAGAAAAACATAAACTTTGTAACGGAGCGTATTGTATGAAGTTTACTAGATGCGATTGAATCCTCCTCTCCCGGCAAGTTCATTTTAATATTGTAGTTTGAAATAGGTATTCGTGTTTATTGATGGGTTTGTAGATTTTTCGAAATTTATAATTGGTATAGTCCATTAAAACCGGGTGCCATAGGTATGACAGCCCTCAGTGACCCGGAAGCGGGCGGCTTCACGACAAGGTTGCTCACCGCGCGTCACCCGCTCCGCGCCCGCCCATACAAGGTCACCGCCACCCGCGCCTTACGTAACCGTGCCCTGCAGCTCTTGTATTAATTTATCGATGATACACATCCCGCAATTATACCCTCTACTAAAACAGCTATTCATAGTAATAAAGTAAAAGGATTATTTGATTGCATTACCTTTTTTTTTAAGATAAAATTTACCTTAAAATTATACGACGATACTGTAGTTCAACTAAGAAGCCGATCTTCCAATTGATATTAAGCACTTAGCAAGGCCCATAGACATCACACTTGAATACCGATGTCCATGTTGATAACCATTGAGCATGCCTAATTGATACTGGAATGCATTACAAACATTATCGAATTCCTTAGAATAATGATCAAAACCTTGTTGAATGCGTAAGCATCACTAACTTTTTGGTTTTCTGATGTTCTCAAGGAAAAAGCGTGCTTATCACCGATGAACTTTGAAGAGAACATTATAAAGTAAGGAAAGGAATATGATCATACCGACGAAGACGAATGGGAAACCGCTTGAGTTTAACACGAAATTCATATACATGATCATACTTACGTAAGCCAAATATGCATCTTATACAGAAGTTTTGAAGACATATCTTACAAAATTTGAGCCACATTTGAAAACATTGTTCAATTATAAAATAAATACGACATAAATAACGGTTATGTGCTATTACAGGCCAAAGAAAGAAGGCGATAGTGACCATGAAGAAGAGTTCTACTATACAGAACGCGAGGTGGTCGCTCCGGCGCCGCCGCCCACCCTCTCCCACCGAGACATGTGCCGCCCTCCACACGAGGACCCTGAGTATCAGAGGCAACTAGTTGGTTCCTTTAGGTAGTTAACTTTATACCAGTCCATAACATACTCAACATTTATTTCATAGTAATGTAGCCGCGTGTGTGACCCGGTTCACACTAACTTTTTTTATTTATTGCTAGATGGGTGGACGAGCTCACAGCCCACCTGGTGTTAAGTGGTTACTGGAGCCCATAGACATCTACAACGCAAATGCGCCACCCACCTTGAGATATAAGTTCTAAAGTCTCAATATAGTTACAACGGCTGCCCCGCCCTTCAAACCGAAACGCATTACTGCTTCACGGCAGAAATAGGCAGGGTGCTGGTACCTAGCCGCGCGGACTCACAAGAGGTCCTACCACCAGTAAGACTACTATTTATTTTTATTGTATAGTCGAGTGAACGAGCTCACGGCCCATCTGGTTTTAAGTTGTTACCATAGCACATAGACATTGCTATCTGAACGCGAAAAATATAATTATAACGGCTGCCCCACCTTCCAAAACGAAATGAATTACTGTTTCGCGAAAGAAATAAACAAGGCAGCGCTATGATGTTACCGAAACAGGTATTAAACTATCATCGGTTCGATTTTTATTACACCACACAAAGCTTTATCGCTATCGTGATTTGTTCTGCATTTACAGATTGATTGTTCTCCAACTTTTTTATTCATTGCTTGTTCGTCAGCTTCTGACCGGAATAAATGACATTTACAGGCAAGGACTCCTCTCTACAATGCAAAACGGTCTCGCGAGGCCCATTAGCATTCCCGGAACGCATTCCTGGTCCAACTCTCACTCACCGGTAAGCGTTGATTTACTTAAATAACACAACAATAAAAAACCGCATAATACAAATAAAGATAATTGTTGTTTAATTTCAATGGCTCAATGTGATTATATTCCAGCTATCTATTTGTAATTCAGACAGTATCTGATGTTTTACTTAAAATCTAAGCACTGTTTTTTCGTTTACAGAAAAACATGCGACTGACAGCGGGTGGGTCTCCGGGTAGTCCCGGTCGGCGACCGCGCTCTGACAATAAGAAGTGTAGGAAAGTGTACGGGATGGATCAACGCGATCTCTGGTGCACACAATGCAAGTGGAAGAAGGCTTGCACTCGTTTCGGTGACTAGCATGTGCGTCGACGTACACACACGTGCCACTATACAAACACTCAACTGACGTCACTACGTGATCGCGTAGGCCTCGCTCGGGAGAGTCGTTCGATTTCATATGTGCAATCTGCAAAAACACTTGTGCGGGTCGTAATTCTGTGTTGGCGTGAATATGATAAAATGAAAGTTTTAGTTTTTTTTTTATTTGAAGCAGATATGGATTTAATGTATTAACAATAAATATTGAGGAGACATATTTTTGATCCCACGTTTGCTGGTGTAACGACTGCATATATAGAAAATTGCCCACTTATTTTTGTAGCGCAGGAGATTCGCTTTTATAGTTTTCATACGCGTTGCAAGAAGTTATTGTGTATTGCTCTCGGTTGGAGACTGTCAATATTAGATTTAAGAGTAGAAATATAAGCTTAGACTGACATTTGACAATGTGGAAACAATCGTTTTGCGACTTGCTTATCAACTACCAATTAGATGCATCACTATCATTTTTACCTACATCATACGTATTACATGATGAACCGTTCCCCAAATTAACTGAAATTTTAAATAAAAATTATAAAATATATTGGTTTGGAACAGTCACAATTTATAAAAATATTTTGGCTATTGATAATTTTTAATTTAAATTCAGATTCAAATCACTGTTTTGCAATCTCAAATAATACTCGAGTACAATTTATTGTCATCGATATTTTCCGTAGCTTGTAGGTAGTAGGTAATTCCGTCCAAATTTTTGGATGTGCTGTATGTAATCTTATAAAATAAATCGCCAAAACCATGTTTTCACAGTGTCCTAAATTTATATGTTGTTTCGTAAAAATATTGAACTCGAGCGGGTACTATCCGAGTACCTTGAACGAGAACAGTACCGTGATAGGAAATCACTAACAATATCGACTGAATTACTAGGAAATATTTAAAAAAAAAACATAATATATGAATTATTAGTCTCGTAAGTTATCTCAGATTCGACGAAAAGACTACAAAATATGTTTAGATTAAAAAAAAAACATATCTGTGTCGTATACAAGGACGATGGTATCAGAACAAGGAGACAATACTCAGAGGACTAGCGCCCTCGTCGCAGGCCTCGAGCTCCATACGATATCGGAGGTAACATCACAACACTAAATCACTGGCATTGCATGCCTTAGTTCTCAGAAATATAAGACTTTACGACACGATCGTTTTTATTTTAAAACATTCTCTTAGCGTTTAAATCGAATGATTTAATAACAACAACGGCGGATGCATGTTTGTTCAAAGCTAAGAGCTCAACAGGGAGGAAATTTTAATATCGATACGTTTGTAACGTAATATATTCTGAGTAACGAATCGATTTTTATTTAATATTAGTAAAAATCGCCTCCATATCAAATTGGTTTGACGAGTGTAGTTACTGACGGCAATGAGAGGCAAATAATTGCCAATATAAAGGCATGAATGATTGCGTGCTGCAATATTATTCAATTAAGTATTAACAGATAAAGTTGTATATAAAATATTATACACTTATATAATTATAGTGTAGTTAATTGTAAGAAACAAATACTATATCTTATTGTTTAACATTGAAAAGCAATGTTCGGATGTGTACATAACATAAAATTATTATATTACTTATTTTATTATTGTTACTTAACGTGATCGTTGTATCGAAATGTTTTATACGTTAGCTTTTAAGGTGTTGAATATATGTAATGATAGCGAGTAGTACATGAAATACGGTTTTCTATTACAAAAAACAATACATCACGTCCCAACATAACAGATACGACAGTTACCGTTTATTATTCGTTCTTATATATAGTGTTCAATGGTCAGTAAAATTCACGGCGTTTGAGTAGTGTTCTTATTAAAGTTCAGAGTATTTAGTTTTAGTTTTCAAAAAGTTGTGCCAATCGACGTAAACGTACCTAGGTAATTATCAGACAAGGTCTTATTGTTTCAATTTTATTATTCGTTTTATGCTAGAAAAAATCCTGTAACACATTATTATTATACTTTTTCTTTGATCTTGCCAAACCATACTTACCTACTTTAAACATCCTGTGTTTTGTTTTCAAAATTCGAATATTGAAAAAGATTAAAAATATTTTATCGCAGTTATGGTTGTGACAATGAATTTATACAGTTGTTATAAAATACGAAATTTCTTGCGTTCTACGAAATGCCAGAATAAAACGTGTACTTGCAACCTAGCTAGCAAATCGAGAACTGCCATATTGTAAGAATAATTAACAACTGAGAATGAATTGCATCCACGGTTAGAAGTTGTACCCGGGATTTTCGTTTCCAGCTTATTAATTTCATAATAGTACTTATAACTACAAGGCCAAATTAATAAGTGTGGCGTAACATGGCAATAGTTAAATCGCAATCAATTAAGACTTCCCCTTTCGCAGTTTGTTTCAAATTTGATTGATTAGTTGCACAAGGCCGGCAGTGTAATGAGTAAGATGAGCTTCGGGTAGCCGAAAAGGAAATAAACACCTTAATATGAGCGGAAAAGGTTTTTTTTTTTTAAAATTACGCCTTTACCTTTCGTCTGTTCATATTTCGGTGAGCAAGAAAGCAGGTGAACGCCCACTTCTGTGTTACACGAGACCGTAATGCCAGCACGTCATTTGTTTCCAATTAGCGTTACATTACGTGCTAAACTAAATTAAGGGACTAAATTTTTTTGGTTACAAATTATTTAATGCCATCTCATTGAAATCACTAGCAATAATACCAATACGATTTCGGTAATCGTTTCTCACACACCATAAAATAATTAAAAGTAACTGAATGGTCTACTATCTCTAAAAAGGTTTTTTTTTTAAAGCCGCTCACACCACTTACCTACTTATTTTTTTCCGATGTGGATGCACTTTAATTTAGCGCAACTTTGATTACATTTAAGTCCAAGTCATAATAGTGTGTAAAACATAGATGTAATTGAAATGTATTACGTATTGTTAGTTACTTGTTCGCGTAACAAGACACGTTGGATAATAATTTATGGTAATAAGAAATGTTTCTTATATTTTTATCAGAGCACGATTACTGGCACACAATACAGTAATGATCGGTTGTACAGATCAATATTAACCGAATTGAAAGTATTTTAGCAAGCAACGATATCAGGCTTAGCAATAGTCAGTTAGTCTTTGTTTAAATTGCTTTAGAAAACATTAAGTGATTGAGGAATCCGCTTAATAACGATCTCACTTGCTGTGGAAAACTGAAAATTGATTACTCGAAGAGATCTATAGACAAAGAGAACTATGCTTGAAGTAATCTTAAGACAATTAGCCTTATTACAGATACCCGTTTAAAAAATTGAGATATGATATTTACGATGAAACAATTTATATAAATTTTGAGTCAGATCTTATTTAGTACGTACAGGGATGATTTATAGAATATGTTAATATAGATAACAGCTGTATGACTGTCGAGATTATATTTAGAAGAACATATATACGCAGATCTCAACTCTATGTTCGAAGCTATTAGTTAATATCAACTTAGATGAAAATTTCATAAATCTATTTCTTTATTTTCAATTAATTTATAATAGAAAATATTATTTTCGAATAAAGACACTGATAATTAATTTTGTAAATATTATTAAGTTACATCATAGTTTGTGTAGCCAAAATTTTGCTCAATTTTATAAAATGCACTCAACACCAAAGTCATAATACTAAACGATCTACATATCAGTACAAAATACATAATTAACTATGTAATTCATTCCCATTTCACATAAAACATTTTTCATTTCATATAATTTGAAAACCATTTCGTATAATTCAATTGTGTCGTAGCTAATTCACGAACCGTGCTATGGCCTCTTGGAATACATATAAAGTTAAAACCAAATAATAAGTTCATACTACAAAAACAGTTCATAATAATTTGATAATATTGTATTTATTAATAGTTTTAATCGCTAACCTCCTTCATCATTTTACGCAATTAACATTTCTTCAAACTGAAGGTACTTACTTACCTACGTATTTATAATTTAATTAATCTCTTAGTATAATTTATTTATTTTTAAGTTTATTCCCTTTGCAAATTAAAGTTACATTCATCTACATTAATATAAGGTTTGTCCTTACATTAGCAGTGGCTAATGCAATAGTCATGTGAATTTATATATATAAATATGTATATTTTCATAAGGTAGGTACTGTCGTTTATATATGTTTGTACACGTAGGACTGTGTTATTTATAAATTGAAAAGATATTGTTATTGATAATCAAATACAAAAAGGAATTTACAATATATCTTCACTGTAATTTTTAAAATACTACAATGAAATTATAAAATGTAAACTAATGCTAATAAATTGTGCCTCTGTCTTTAACCTACGGTTTTATATTGTAACGATTAATAATAAATATTTATGTAAATATGCAATTCATGATGTTATGTAATTTCGAAATTGAATTTATAATTATATCATGAATACGTTCCATGTTTATAATCATTTTTAAATTACAGGAGTACAAACCGAAAACTATTAGAAGTGTTTGATAATAGACCAGATGCTTATTACAAGTTACATCCATACACAATTGGTAATTTGTTTTACCGAAGTCTAAAAGGTTATTTTTGCCAACGATTAGGAATCAGTAACATTCCCGCGTATTTTTGGTGCGTGGGTAATTTCACGGTAAGCGAACGTAATTTTGCTGTTACTTTTGTTCATCGTCTTCTTATATTAAGTTTTAACTATTATTACAAATAATTCTTTTGTTGTAATTTGAATACCTTAAACTTTATTTACATAACATTTTAAATTTCTCTTTATAATTAGAATTAAATTTAAAAGGAAATTATAACTTAGGATAAAATTCCGTGTGGGCAATAATAATAATAATATAAGTTTAAACTTACATAATATATACATATTTAACAGAAAATATGTCTCCTATAAATTAACATGTACCTACCAATATGTACTTTGTGACGACCAAGGTAGTATATTATTACATAAAACGTAGTTTACAGATTATATACATTTAATATGTAATTATATCGTATGTAACTTACCTATAAATAAGTACACATATAACTGCTATTTTTTGCTGGTGATTTTCTTCTATACATGCTTTCAATATCACTGATTTTAATTTTATTGGCAGCTCATCATGTTTGTTTTGGATTGCAAATTTAATTTGCAAAGAATATGTAATTAAAAACTAAAAATATTTTCCAACTCGTGCTATTTCTTCTAAAAATATTTAGTTATAAATAAAAGGTAAGTTATCGTCTAAAGATCGGATATATCGAATAGAATGGTTACCAGTAGCATTAAGGTTGCAAAAAGAAAGTTGTTTCGTAGCGTAGGTGTACTCAATATTTACATATTAAGTTGTCAATATCACAGCAGTTTTTGCCAATACTGTCAGCTGAAATCAGAACCCACTAAGAATTGAACGCGATTGTCTACCTAAAACTGATTTTTACATTCTATTGCATTGTTTTATTGCCGACAATGCGTCGTTCTCAAAGCTCAAGTGCACATTTTAAAAGCAATATTATTTAGAAAATGTAGAATTAATGAGAAATGTACTGTTTTCAAATTTAGAAGAAAATTTGCTGGCAGTTAATCTACTGTGATATTAATAATTGTATTAAATATTTATTTTTCTAAATTATTATTTATATTCTATGATGTTAAAAGTGATTATATGTTATATTTTAATGAAATCACTAGTTTAAGAGTGTTATTTTGAAATGTGTTTATAGTATGTATAGTAAGCGTGTTGTGTAAATGTGTTGTTTATTATTTTTGATGTATGTCATCAGAACGAAAATTAACTGTATTACAATTACATAACAGAAAATTATATCACGTTGATATTTCTGATAAAATAATGATTAATGAACATCACAAAAAAACAGCCTTAATATTTTTATCGCAGATGTGCTCTCTAATAATGTTACATAAAATTTAATTGCATTTCGTGAGTGCACGAGGTCAAATTTCGGGCCGTTTAATGGTAACAAATGTATATTTCCTTTCGAAAATATAATAATGTTAAAAATGAAATCTTTATAAAAATGTTATTATTTTATGATGAGCTACTTCAAGTAGACTATTTGCCTGATATATTATACCTCAATAAGTTTAGTATGAATTTTGTGTGTCTTGAAAAATATATTTCAATTATTAGAAACTTGTTTTCTTTTTTCACCTAGCTATTTAATTAACTTAATATCACAATTCCTTAGAAGAAGTTTTCAGTAGTCTTAATTTCTACCTTCCCGTAAGTTTATAGGGAACAAAATCGTTTTCCCAATTTAAGGTATGTATTTGATTTTATTGGCATTTATTTAGCTCGTGGCCTCTAAGTGGCCCACTGTTAAGAAAATGAAGCCACTACAAAATACAAGCTATATCGAATTTTCTTGCATTCGATAATAGATACATAGACACCACATCAGCCTCTCCAAAATCTAAAGTCATGCTAGGGAGTATAGCAGAGTCCGCATTTACGCATTACTACTGGTTAAAAAAATTAAAAAAGAATTATTTTGGTGATAAAAAAGAAATGTATAATATTTGAACAGAATTCTGACCCATATAAATGAACATAAATTCTTAGACACTGGTTCTGATTGAAGAAATTTATGTTTATTGAGAAGATTAAAATGAGAATCTAACTAGTCGCAGCGCTTCAAATTCTTTCTAGTGAGTAGATGAATGAACGATAGTGTGAACGATCTCTATATTCACCTGGCATTATGTGATTACCGGAGCCAATTTAATAGACATCTATCAACATATCAGGAATGCTCTCGATAATTCTAGAGATGTCGTATCGACTATAAAAGCGTTGCAGAGATGATACGAAGCAGTTAATAATCGGGTCTACTCGAACCGATAAAGTGAACGAATCACCTGAAGCGAAAAGGAAGAAGTGAATTACGAATTGTAAAGGGTTTTGTAAGTGTTCTAAGTGCTAAAAAGAGTTTTAATTTGTACTTCGGTGGAAGTTTTATTGAACTCGAACCACAGCCCAAACAGTACTAAAGACATTATCTTTTTTTTTGAAAGGAAGGGTTACTGGTGGCCCAGAGACCTTTCCAGTTTCAAGATAAGTAGGCGAGCAAAGGCTGAAGCAGGAGGGGAGTGAATTTCTAACAGCTCCCCGAGCGTCTCCGGAGGTGACCTATCAACTCAAGAGCAGCTTCGCGAATGAATCTACTGCACTACTAGCGATCCGCTTTGCAGATTCGGCGAGAAACTCAGCGAGTTGATGTATGAGTTAAGTTGCACGTCAAACTCTTTGCGAAGTTCGACGAGTACGGCTGCCGAGGTCCTTAAACCTGCTCCTAGTGTTAGAGCTGAAAGCATCTAGTGTTGAGATTAATGGATCTGATGCATCTGTAAGGACGTGTGTACAATATCTCTGAAAACACGGTTTCCGAAACAAACCTTCACGAGAACTTGGTGAGCTGCGTATATTTCACGAGAAGCATAACAACGTTCCAGAGAGATCCGTACTGTACTACGGCTCGGACACGAATGACCAAGCGCTTTTTTTTTTTCCTACCTAAGCTGATAGCCTTGAGAGGCTATTTCAGCGGAACCTTAACTAGTGAGCTCACGGGGCTCAAACCTGACGACGTTGCTAACACGAACCCTATCAAAAGCCGTGCTTCGCAGAATCTACCACCGGATCCGAAACGCGACCCACTCAAAAGATCCGGCGAGAAACTCAATGGGCTAATCATATTGCAATAGAAATAGTATAAATAAAAAATCGAATCTAGATACTCGAGCTTTTAATCGTTTAATAAATAGAGTAAAATAGCGTACTCTAAAAACAAACAAAAAAAGCTTAACAAACTTAAATAGCAAACCGAACTAATATTAATTAATTTCATCTTTTTTATTTTAATAATACTGTTAATATAAGTAATACATATACCTGATGATGATGATGATGAATATCGCTAAAGTTAATCGGAAGTCTTGAAGTCGGTAAAAATAGCGCTCAAAAAATTTGCTACATAAAACATAGATATTTACCGAGGTAATATAAAGCGTGTTTAAAACCAATCACAATAACCGCTTATTTTTAGTATACAAGTCAATAGATTACGTACTACTCACAAAACAACATGAACCTAATTCTTGATTCCTTTTTTAATAAAAGCACTTAAATGCATTCAGACTAAAAAAAGCAACGTCTGTTGTCATATTATTTTACAAGACATCCCTAACTATACGTAGGTAGGTACATAAAAATCGATTATTTGTCCGATTGCCGTCACGAATTCAGAGTTTTGCTGAGTTTAATGACAAATATAAAAAATCTGAATATTTATATGTGCGTTTAATAATATCAAAATACAGATACTTGTTATTTGGAATGTAAATTGTAGTACATAAAACAAACATCACAATCAACACAAACAAAGTGAGAATTAAAAACTAAAAATGGGTGCAGTGTTGGGCCTTTGTTCTGCAGCACAGGTAATTTATCCCTTCCTAGATATTTAATTATTATTTAATATTTTACTAAGTCTATCCAAATAAAGTAACTAGCAACTGCAATGTTAAGAAAAATAAATATAATTCTACCGGACACATTTTGTCCTTGCTTAAACCATTGTTATGATATTATTAGATAAATGATTCATAAATACCAATTTAGGGCTAATTAAAAAAAAAATGTTTCGTCAGTATACAGTGCAGTAGGCAATAGTATAAATAAGATCTATTGATTACATTCTAATATTGCTACATAATCGATATATTTGTAGGAAACAACCATGTCTGTGTGACTAGCTAGAATTTAATTATTCTTCATAAACTTATTTGAAAAGAGACGTGCCATAGTCTGAGTTGCTGAACTAGGATGTTTATTGTATAGTTTTAAACTTCATCAAAGACAATCTTTAGATACAACTTTAGAACGGAATTGGGTCATGGTTAGAGGAATTTAATTTTTAGTTAGTCGTGTGATAAAGTAGAGATAATAGCATGATCTCTATTAATTCTTCAAGGAAATCAATCAGAGAGATATGATAAAACACATGAAGGACTAAGGAGGGAGGAAATATTTTGAGCTAGCAAGGTAGATAGAACATCTTGAAATTTCTGCATTTAAGTAGATCCATCTATTCCCGTTTGAAAGATGGTACAGCTTTTAATACAACTATAATCTGCACCACATTTCTGAAACTGGGTGGATGTATTAAAACAGTGATATGTAAGGATTCTGAGAACTTTAACACCAAGTGGGCTATAAAATTATTAGCTATCCTACATAAAGACGAAAAAAAATCTAAAGTTACTGCAAATACCAAGCAAACTAGCTTTTATATTCAATTGAAAATTTAATCATAGTTAGGCTTGATATAAGTATATTAGACTATGCTATATAAGTTTACGCCTTTCTTTTTTATTAGTAAATGTGTCTTCAATCTGTAAATGTCTTTATCTTTACAGCTAGCGTGTTGCTGTGGCAGCACTGCTTGTTCACTATGTTGTTCAGCATGTCCATCTTGCACCAATTCCACCTCCTCCCGTCTTATGTATGCACTAATGCTGGTGCTGGTAACTATTGTGTGCTGTATCACTTTAGCTCCCGGATTACATAATGAACTTCAAAAGGTAATGTGGTAAAACAGTTTTAAAAGACTATGTTATTATTCAATTTTTTAATTTAATTCATTTTATCATGGTAATCCTCAATATAATGAGGTGTGATTTAATTATTTATTGTGGACATTTAAAATCATTTATTCAAATACATTATACAGTGTAAGTTAACACTATTTCTTCCATTATTTTGTGTATACCTATTTTTGCTAGAAGCTGTCTTTTGACAAAACTGGAAATAATTATTAGAGTTTACTGGTGGTAGGACCTCTTGTGAGTCCGTGCGGGTGGGTACCACCACCCTGCCTATTTCTGCCGTGAAGCAGTAATGCGTTTCGGTTTGAAGGGTGGGGCAGCCGTTGTAACTATACTTGAGACCTTAGAACTTATATCTCAAGGTGGGTGGCGCATTTACGCCGTAAATGTCTATGGGCTCCAGTAACCACTTAACACCAGGTGGGCTGTGAACTCGTCCACTCATCTAGCAAAAAAAAAAAGTTTACCGTATAAATGTTGCATTCAATTATATATTATAATTCTAAATTAAATAAACGAAATGGCAAAAAGTGTATAGAGAAAAATGATTATATGTACTTAGAAAGCAATTTGAGTTTAATATTTCAAAAGTAGGTTGAGACCATTTCGTAAAAGTGTTAAAATTAAAAACATATTATTTATCATGAATTCAGGATTTATAAAAAAACTATAATTTTAGCTACCGTTTTGTACAAATGCAACTGATAGTACAGTCACAGGACTATTACCAGGAAATTTCAAGGTAGATTGTGATGAAGCGGTTGGATATTTGGCTGTTTATAGGTAATTTTTACTATATCAATCACATACCTTTAACCATACAAAATTCGACAAAGAAGTGGAAACTAATCTTCTAAATGTATTTGCAGAATTACATTTGCAACATGTCTCTTCTTTCTGCTAATGGCATTAATTATGATTGGTGTCAAATCTTCTAAAGATCCAAGAGCTGGAATTCAAAATGGGTATGTAATAGTAATAAATTGTCAGACTATTTTTTTTAAAAAAGTGATGTTCTCCAAAATGGTTTATAATAATATACGGTGTAATTTTAGTTTTTGGGCCATCAAATATTTATTGGTTATTGGTGGCATTATCGGAGCATTCTTCATCCCAGGAGGTCAATTTGCTTCGACATGGATGGTGTTTGGAATGATTGGAGGCTTCTGCTACATTGTTATCCAACTCATTCTTATCATTGATTTTGCACATTCCTGGGCTGAAATATGGGTTTGTAAGTAAAAAAGGACGTTTATTTGTGCCTAAAATTGTAAGTTAGTTAGCTTAGTTACATAACATTACATACCTATGTCATCAATATTAAAAAAATATAGAGAACTTGTTTTACTGCAAGCTCTTCATACGTTTGACACGGATCTTCATCGATTAATGTCTCAGATTTACTGGTGGTAGGACCTCATGTGAGTCCGCACGGGTAGGTACCTCTACCCCGCCTATTTTCTGCCGTGAAGCAATAATGCGTTTCGGTTTGAAGGGTGGGGCAGCCGTTGTAACTATACTGAGACCTTAGAACTTATATCTCAAGATGGGTGGCGCATTTGCGTTGTAAATATCTATTGGCTCCAGTAACCACTTAACACCAGGTGGGCTGTGAGCTCGTCCACACATCTAAGCAATAAAAAAGATTATTATAGAACTGAGACTTAGAACTCAAACCCGAAGGTGGGTGGCTGTATTCGCGTAGTGATATATCTATGGGCTCCAGTAACCAAAGCGAGTCGTGAGCTCATGCGCCCGTTTGATCAATTAAAAAAATACTAATAATATTATTGAAATAATCCCTACTAATATATAAATGTGAATGTAAGTTTGTTTGTTACGCTTTCACGCAAAAACTACTCAACCGATCATTATGAAACTTTGTACACATATTCTTGGAGGTATTAGAAGTAAGATAGGATACTTTTTATAAAGAAAAAAAAAATCACTTTCTACGAAAATGAAGTGGCGGTAAAATTTAGCGTTATGCCAAAGTAACTATTCCACGCGGACGGAGTCGCGGGCAAAAGCTAGTAGTAAATAAATATAACTTTGTGTGTATCTTTTACTGTAGAAACTTGAAATCCGAAAATTTTTAACATGTTCTTTCTCAAAGATAATAGAATCTTCTTATGCCATAAAACGCTCTAAATTTATTATTAATGTACTGAATGTCTTCTGTTATCAAGTCTATTTAAATTGTTTTCGTTCTATTGACAGATAAGAAAGTTTTATCGCATTGTTTAAAATACAGTTTATGTTCGTGTTTACACAATATAGTGTGAAGCACTTCATATATACTTGCTGTAAAATATCTATCATTAAATTAAAAACAAAAAAGTAGTTAAATTCATGGACTATTTTGTATATTAAATAATTGCGTCCCACATAGATAAAGATTAGAGTTTGTATTTAATTATTGCTGTAGTATACAGAATTTCAACATTTTTATACCTTTTTTTACCCATTCAAATTAATTCTACAGTCAAATTTTCTGAAATTTGGATTTTTAGGACAAACTTTATCATGTGTTCTTTTAAAATGAGATCTATGTTCCTTTAAGGTTTTTTCGAAGTTTAACACATATCTAACCTAAATAATAATTTAAATTAAGATAAGTTTTATGTATATATCGAGAGGTGAAAGTCTATTTGGTTTAAGCGACGTTTTTGCAACTTTACTTGAGAGCCAATTGAAATTTTAAATTTGGAAAAAAATATCATAACAAAAAACTTCTTCGGCTATTTAAATTGGGTAAATATAATTCAAGTACAATTAAAAACATCGAACTGTTGATGCTAATACCAAATAAAACGCACCTTCAATCGCAAAGATAAATGAGTCGTCTATTATCAAAGGTGGCAATCTGTGCATTTGGACAAAAAATTTTTAATGATATGTCAATTCAGATTGATTTGAATATAATCGTCTCCTTCAAAGAATACGGTTCAAAACCTGCATTAAATAAAGGTTAATAGTTAACCTGTTATTTATCTAAGATGTCGTTCCGAAGAGTTTTGTGACTGCCAATGGAATACAAAGTCAATAATTCGTTTTTCTGATTTACCAATCATTGTCCAAAAGTCAGATTGCCGGCTTTGATAATAGTCGACTCAAATATAGGGTGTTAAGCGATTTTTTTTATTGCTTATATGGGTGGACGAGCTCACAGCCCACCTGGTGTTAAGTGGTTACTGGAGCCCATAGACATCTACGACGTAAATGCGCCACCCACCTTAAGATATATAGTCGGATTTTTTATTAGACGAAGTCAACTGACGTTTACTGTGTTGTCAGTTTTTGATGAAATAAAAATAGTGTTGTGACAAAGTGAACGATTGAAAAAACTCCTGAATTAATGAAATTACCTCGATTGTCTAGCGAATAGTTGGTGTACCGAATTGCCGATATCGAGTACGGGGTTCGAATTTTAGGCGTGCTTTGTACAAACCAACGAGTTTTCGACGAAATATTATGTTCCTATAGTATCTACCTGTACTGAATACCGAGTGTTTTAAACATTAAGAAAAACATTGCGAGGAAGCTTGTAATACTGTCCTATTTCCAATACATCATATAGTTGAAATTATAGATGTATAAAATATAACAATTATAGGTAGGTAATGAAAATAAAAAAAACTGATTGTAGTTACATACTACTAGTAACATATATTGGAGCACTTTAATACAATTTTATTGTAAAATATAAATAATATTCTTTTATAGTTTGAAATTAATGATTAACTCTTCACACTCATTGTTCATTCATGTGATTGAACGAGAACTGAAAGCATCACTATTACTTTAAATATAGCAACATTATTTCACAAAGTGACATTAGCTACTGTCAGCTAGCTTCGTCTAATTAAAAATCCGACTATAAGTTCTAAGGTCTCAAGTATAGTTACAACGGTTGCCCCACCCTTCAAACCGAAACGCATTACTGCTTCACGGCAGAAATAGGCTGGGTGGTAGTACCGACCCGCGCGGACTCACAAGAGGTCCTACCACCAGTATGTCGCTTAAACCAAATATCCTCTCACCTCTCGGTATCTTTTAATGAAACTAATTTGAACACAAAAAACAGGTCTCCTAAGACAAAAAAATATATATATTTGATAAAATTTTAATAACAATTTTTATTGCAAAATAAATTTGTGATTTGGATGGTTTCATGCATTATCTTTTTAATCACTTACAGTAACTTTGCTATAAAACAAATTAAATTGGCGAACCTAGAAACATTAAATTATTTGCCGAAATCTAAAATGTACCTACTAGTTAATTTAAATTATTTTTTAGCTAAATACGAAGAGACAGAATCGAAGGGATGGTATGCAGCACTACTGATTTCAATGCTGACCTGTTTTGCTCTCACCTTGACTGGCATCGTTCTGCTTTATGTTTATTACACTAAGGTAATATTCTATTTTAATATTATTATAGGTATACTAGCCGTACTCGCCCACTTCGCTAGGCATTTAAAATTAACATTATTATTTATTGTCATTATTATTAGGGAGTCCAACACATATAAATATTAGCCTATCCATTAAGTACATCGACGCTTGAAAGGCAAACGTGACTAAGCGACAATGCGTGAACTTTACAGTAGACTAATATAAGTTGAAATACCTGAAAAAAATTATATTTTAACGAATCTAGCTGTAGGATTGAAATGATTTTAATAGACCTAGAATTTTTTTTTTGCGCATCCTATATGTTTATTGCCTATCATTTATGTACAAAGTAGTTATTGTCGCTTAGTCTCGTTTCCCTTTCAAGCGTCGACATGTATTTTCTACATTGATACCATGTTTCCATGGATACCAAGTACCATGGTTCAGTAGTTATAACGCAAGATCCGTAAAAACCACTGTAGATTTATATGTTAGTATAGGTTAAGGCTATTAAACTAAGGTAACATATTTCCAAATATACATTTTATTCAAAATATCTTAGTACATATTTAATTTAAAAAAAAACAATCTATGGTCTGAATACGCAGACTAGAGACCCTTTAGATCGAATATAAAGTCTTCGTCTTAGAATTAGGTTTGAAAAATCATTGACGGTAGGTAATACCTGGGCTGGAACTCGCATTACCAACATTCATAACCACGTATTCCTTTAATGGCGTTATGAAAAAAAAAAAGTATTTTCGACGATAGATACAGAAACTAATATGAATTCAGTTACTGATAATTAACGTCTTGCTTCACTAACTGTATTGAGTAGACGCTGACATGAAGGATGGTTTACACAGTGAGTATGAATATGTAGGTACTGCTTTGAATAGTTTATTGAAAATAAAAATATAACTACACAAACAAACTATAACACAAGTTGTACAAAAAAAGGACGAACATTTAGTAAAGGCACTGACACGAACGATGGGTTACACAGCGAATATGAATATGTAGGTACTGCCCTCAGTTTTTCAAGATTGCCGCGAAGTGTTGAACAACAATATTGGATGATTGCCTAATATCATAAGCGACAGCGATTTTGTCGAAATGTAAGGCGGTTGTCCGAGTAGTGGCGGGTAAGTGAGTCGCCACAGTCTTTGATCCAATTTTAACAAATTTCCCAACAGTCCAACGGATGCGACCTATCGAAGTTCTTCATTTCGTTCAATCTGATCCTGGTGGTGGTCGCCAGCGGCGTGTCGATCTTGCCTTCGGTTCAAGAGCACCAGCCGCGCTCCGGTCTCCTGCAGTCGTCAGTCGTGTCCCTCTACGTCATGTACCTCACCTGGTCCGCGCTCTCCAACGCCTCCAAGGAATGCAACGGACTCACCGGTACATCGGATGATGTGAGTTTTCCCGTTCATATAATCACAAAAACGTTTTGTTCAAGGTAGGGTCAATGGTAAGAGATCTCATGGACGAATCCACATGCGCTGGACTGATCAGGTGAAAGACCTTACTGAAACCCGACGAGTGCGTGCGCCAAGCCTCAGTTCGCAAACTATGGAAAACATATGTCAAGGCTTTAATAAACAAGAATTCCACATGACCACGACTGCTCTGCCAATAGCAACCGACTATGATGATGATGATAGTCACAATGCCATTCCAGTTTTACAACACACTTTCATGACTCCCAAAGACAATTAAACGTTCAATTCAATATCATAATAGAAAAATAATATTTTAAATATGACAATTTTGTAACCTCCTGTACTATAATGATAAGTTGTGAAATTCTAATCTAATATAACAATATCAAAATATTAAGTACAGTGAAACAATATACCGACAGCAAATTTATAATTTAATAAAAATTTACCTTATGTCAAAGTGTAATAATTATGACGACAATTCAATTACGCATAACAAGGAAAAATCGTACTGGGTATGTACAATGGGTTCGCTGTGAATGCTTTTAATGCTCCTAATCGTGTAGTCATTTAATTCATTATTTTTTTTCTTCCCTGTTATATTCAAGTATAATCAGTTACTGTTACACACTAGTATACAGGGTGTATTGCAACTGCCTCCGAAGGAAAATAATAATTTCGTTACTTAGTCTAAGCAAAAAAGAATGTTGGTTTGTAGACTACGTCAAGCCGAAATTCATTATTACTTTTGTCGTGTTCGGTTGTTATACATCCTGTTTGTTTTTTCAATCACCATATTTATATAACAAATATGTTCATCAAAACAAAATCATTTAGTAATTCTTCGAAATTTGAGCAAACAAATATTGACATGTCCATTTAAAACTACCCACTAATTAACATTTATGTTACCTTACTACAACGCTTTAGTAAAAATGTGTGTTTTATATATTTTGTTGGAATATTTTTTTCTTTGCCACATAGGTTGTTCTTGCATTTCGTTGTTTATAAAGTGGTATTTAGAAACCGTACTATAATATGTGAACGTGAATCACACCTTTTAAATCTACTATTTTCTTTGGATTTTGCAAGTCGTAGACATAATTAAAACAACTTTTACCGTATGAAAACGTGTTTATTATTTCTATTTTACCATATTCGAATACTTTTTACGTTTTCGTCGTCCGTGACCGCAAAAACTGCAAGGTATTAGAAAATTCGGAAACCGTAAAATGAAAATGGTAACTGCGAGATTGAACCGTAAAAGTAGATTTAATTTATACCTTTCCTAATCAGGTAGTTTGTCCCCAATCCAACTGATCAGAATTTATTTCTTTCTTCTTTATTCATAATGCACTATATTATATTTCTCTATAACACAAAAATACTCTGTTTATAAAGTACTATTATAATACATTACTTCACACAAAACTATTTCAGTGTGGTAATTTGTCATAAAATCGAGGATTTTTTTTATTGCCCTTGTAAGCAGACGAGCATACGGCCCACCTGATGGTGAGTGGTTACCGTCGCCCATGGACTTCAGCAATGCCAGGGGCAGAGCCAAGCCGCTGCCTACCGCAGGAATCGTTTACTGTCATTATCTTCAAACATTCTAGCTATACATAGATGTAGTGAGAAATTATTTTCTTTCGGGAAAACTCAGATCTTTATCGGAATACGGTGACACTCGAATTGTCAATGAATTATCGTATTAAATGAGTGACATTTTAATATGGAACTTTATTGTTTAGTGTCAAATGTCAAAATGAATAATGTCATTGTACTGAAGCTATTTGAGAGAGCACGATAAATACGAACTTTTCCGAAAAATTACGAAGGGAATTCTTTTCTCGCTATGTCTATACAACAGTCCGAACAAATGAACCGATATAACCGTCAATAATTGAATCCGAATAAAGTAAATTCGCTATTCGCAATTACGAGGAGCCGTATTGAATATCATACGTCTTGCACACGCCCTTTTAATTCCTAAAAACAAAAAATGAAACAAGGTACACAGTGTTCGTGGCCGAAACTCCGATGAAAATAATCTACAATCTTATGCGAAAACTTTGCTTAAATTTTTATTGCATAGATGTGTGGACGAGCTCACAGCCCACCTGGCGTTAAGGGGTTACCGGAGCCCAAAGATATCTATAACGTAAATGCCGCCACCCACCTTGAGATATAAGTTCTGAGGTCTCAGTATAGTTACAACGGCTGCCCCACCCTTCAAACCGAAACGCAATGCGGACTAAAGAGGTCCTACCACCAGTACTTACGCTAATTATAATTTTGCGGATTTGATTTTTATTACACGATGTTATTCCTTCACCGTGAAAGTCAATCGTGAACATTTGTTAAGTATGTATTTCATCAGAAAAATTGGTACCCGCCTGCGGGATTCGAACACCGATGCATCGCTACATATGCACCGGACGTCTTATCCATTAGGCCACGACGCCTTCAAAATACTTTTATATTCCGAAACCGCGTAGGTACTGATAATCGATCTCAATCAATAATAATACTTCAATATTCTTTAATAACTCGTTCACTCTTCTAGGATTAACGAACTCACGATCCACCTGTGTGCTCCATGCGAGTTTTTTTACTTTTCGATCGCGTTAAAATTAACAGTGCTCCTACGTTTGCCACTAGGGGCGCTGTCCTAACTCCATAAAATTTTGAGTTTACTTTTACGCGATCGAGAAGCTAAAAAACTCGCACTAAGCACACTGATGCTAAGGATCCCAATAGACAACACTGCGTGAATGCCGCCACCCACCTTGAGACACGAGGTTTCAATTTTACCAAACCGTATTAGTTTTTTGCAACTGAAATGGGTATGATAGTACCTATCCATCGGTCATCGTTCTCGTCGAACCCGTCGCTTGCGACAAAAGGGCTCGACGAGTAAATTAACCTTCAGACACAGCCCACTGAGTTTCTCGCCGGAAGTTCTCAGTGGGTCGGGTTTCTGACCCGGTGGTAGATACTGCGAAGCACGGCTCTTGCTAGGGTTCGTGTTAGCAACGTCGTCAGGTTTGAGGCCCGTGAGCCCTCACCCACTAGTTAAGGCTACGCTGATATAGCCTCTCAAGGCTCTCAGCTTAGGTAAAAAAAAAAGCTTAAATTATAATCGTAATAAATAAATAATATTTGTTATGCATTCAGTCATCCTTCGACAAGCAGCGAATAATCGGGCTGTGCATTTGGGTGTGCAGCGTTCTGTACTCAAGCATAAGGACCGCCTCCGCCTCGTCCAAGATAACAATGTCCGAACACATTCTGGCCAAAGAAGGATCTACAGGTGATTATACATGACATTTTCCGTTCTAATTCTAAGAGCAATAAAGATCTGTTGCACTTTATATAAAAAAAGTCGGGGAAACTCGTTTGTTTTCTAAATTAAGCAAAAAATTTGTTGCCACTAACCTTTTTGTGTTAAAATTACGTATACAGGATGTCCAACAAAAGGTAAATCAAGACGAAACGATCGATCGATTGCGTAGTATCAACAATGTAGACCATGTCAAAACTGTCAAAAAAAATCTTGTAGTAATTAAGTAGTAGAGACTTGTCGACATTTGTGTAACGGAACTAGAACTGTTATTATTATTCCACTCCTGGACATTAGTTGACACGATACTCTGACGATGTTCACCTGCTGTTAAGTGGTTATCATATCAGAACTCACAGATATTATAGGTCACGCACTTACGGATCCATCAGATCCAATAACCTTTGCAGTAGACGCCTTCAGCTCTAAGACTAGGAACAGACTTAGGGACCCCGGTAACCGTACTCGTAGAACTCAGCAAAGAGGTCGACGTGCAACCTAATCCATAAATTCGCTGAGTTTCTCGCCGGATCTTCTCAACGTGCCGCGTTTCCGATCCGGTAGTAGATTTATTCGCGAAGCAGCTGCTTTTGAGTTGTTAGCTTTCCTTTGGAAGCGCGAGGGCAGCTGTTAGTAAATCCCATCCTAACTGGCTGAGCCTTTGCTCGCTCACCTGTCGTGGTGAAACTGGAAAGGCCTCCGGGCCATCAGTTATCTGTGAATCATACATTTTTTCTTTTTTGCGCGCTAAACTTGGTTTATGGCCATAAATCAGTTCAAATTGAATTTTAATTTAAGAGTATCTAAAGTTTTCAGCGTGGTTATACCCTTTGTGGGAACATCCTGTTTACTCAACGGCACATACTTTTATCTATTCAATATATTTGTTCTAATTTTTTCTTTTTCATGTGTTTTTATTTTGATAACTAACACATAAAATGCATTGTTTGCGGTCGGACGCGCTGCGGCGGCGCTGTGAAAGGCCAAGGAGGGCTCATTGGCAATGAAGGTAAAAACTGTAATAAGTAGTACGTAGAAGCTTTATAGGCGCAGTAAACGTTCACATTTGATTCGTGAAGGCTCTCGTTTATTCTATTTATATTCAGTTTTTTATTGTCATTGTCAGTTTTTATCTTGCTTATATTCGCGGGTATGGGTTTTCCTTTGCTTAAAACTTAACAATAAAGTATGCTAGCTTGCTTGCTTATCCTAAATACCTACGCGGAGTTTTATTATTTAAGCAAACATTAAAACGATCTATTCGTGACCCTTGACGCTTAATAAAGATGTTTTAGGAGTTAAATCGCGTGCGGGTAGGGCCTATTGACCACGCCATATTTTCCATAAAAGATAACAATATATCCTTTGATAAAAGAGATCCTCGCCTGAATGAGTTTGCTTTGATTTTATATTGTTTTTGGTGTATTTTTATGTAATTTTTTTTATTCTAAAATTAAAATTGTGTATTAAACTTGAGAAAACATTTCAGTTAAAACATTAAAATTGTAACATCTCTTATAAATCGATTGATTATCCGTTACCGTCTCTCCCTTACTGAGCTTAGATTAGTTCTTAGTACAGTAGCTAATTGATCACGTTCCAAAAATCAGTACACCTAAAAAAAAATATGCTTAAAATAAATACTAAAATTACGAAATTATTAAAATACTTATCGTTTAATCTTGCGTTCAATAACGTGTATATACGTTTGCAGTGGTCTTCAAATTAAAAAATTTGAAAAATACATACAACGAAGAACTTAGAACGAAAATTATTGAAAACTGAAAAATTATAAAATTTATGATGCGAGCACGAGATTAAACGTAAGGTCCAATCCTCACTGCCCTGGAAACTTCGCGCGGCTAACGAAACAACTAGTATCAACTATTGAATAGTAGCATCACATAAATATTACGGAATCATTAACATTAGAAATTTTTTAATTAGAAATGGATAGTAATTTGTGCATTCTCGCGCATTCGCGTCTACACCCAAATAATGCAAGAAGCTTACAAATCTGTTCCAAAATTAGTAAAATTCTTTCAAACACTAATATACAGTCAAACCTGGGTAAGCGAAAACTGGATAAGTGAGAAAACTCTATAAGTGAGAGTAATAGCCAGGACCCGTCATTTTAAGCTCCCAAAACCTCTATTAGAGAGAAACAGAAACCTCTGTAAGAGAGAGTCGTTTTTCCCTCGTGGACCTCCGTAAGTGAGACTGCTACTTATCTATACCTCTATAAGCGACAGTCGAGCTTTATTTATTTATATTATTTAGGAGGAACAAATGAAAAAACAAATTACAAATTTAACATCTGCTATTTTATGACTCATTCTTAACTTTTGTGAAACTTCCTTCTATTGTTTTTGAATTGTTTTCTCGTCAATATTGAACCTATTCTATTTCGTGGAACTAAATAACGTTGTTATTTTATCGCATTTTTTTCGAATGGACACGTGTGCCTGTGTACCGTCCTGTTTGTCGGACTTACTCAGTTTATCGTTAATCAATTGCGAAGGAAAGTTCTGTTCTGCATCATGTCAAAACGGAAAATTAAAGTACTGTCATTAAGTGAATAGTGAATGCGTTTGAATCCGGAAAATCGCGAAATGAAATTCAGACGGAACATTAGTGAGAAACTCGGGTTAGTGAGAAACCTCGGTAAGCGAGAATGAGATAGTGCTCCCTTGAACTCTCGCTTATCCAGGTTTGACTATAGTTTGTCAAGTAATATTGATGGCTTGTGACGTCACTGTCTTTAAAGTACGGGCGTGTGGTGTATTTAAACAGTCACAGGTAAACAGTCGACGCCGCCCAAAACACGTCATTTCGGATCCTCCCGATCCACTAACGGTGCTTTTAGGTACCTCAAGCACCGGCCACCGTTCTCGTCGAACCCGTCGCTTGCAAAGAAGGGCTCGACGAGTAAATTAACCCACAGACACAGCCCACTGAGTTTCTCGCCGGAATTTCTCAATGGGTCGCATTCCCGATCCGGTGGTAGATTCTGCGAAGCACGGCTTTTGCTAGTCGTCAGGTTTGAGCCCCGTAAGCTCACCTACTAGTTAAGGTTACGCTGATATGGTCTCTCTAGACCATCAGCTTAGGTAGGAAAAAAGTTATTCTTTGTCTGTTGTCCTCGTCGCATACATCTATTTAAATTTCCGGCACCCATAACATGGGAATGTACAAAGTTTGACTTTTAATTATAAGCCGATTCTAGCGCACTGAGGATGGGACATAAAAATGGTTTTAATTCGTGGATATAACGAATAACAAAACCTTTTAAAGAACGATAAAGATGTTAATAGTTGCACGTCGGTATGCTCGCTGAGCACAGGGTATGATTGTATAGAGGGTGCCGACGGGGGAGAGGCGGGGCAGGGCGGGAACGAGCCTAAGGTGTTTGACAACGAAGGAGACTCCGTCGCCTACTCGTGGAGCTTCTTCCATATAATGTTCGCGCTCGCAACGCTCTACGTCATGATGACCCTCACCAATTGGTTCAAGTTAGTATTACACATAGTGTTTATTTTATTTTATTCTTTACTGCCTAGATGGGTGGTCGAGCGCACAGCCCACCTGATGTTAAGTGATTACTGGAGCCCATAGACAATATGTACAACGTAAATGCGCCACCCACCTTGAGATATAAGTTCTAAGGTCTCAGTATAGTTACAACGGCTACCCTACCCTTCAAACCGAAATGCATTACTGCTTCACGGCAGAAATAGGGAGGGTGGTGGCGGTACCTACCCGTTCGGACTCCGTTTCTTTACTTGCTTAGTTATCGCTTACTAACTATTTGTCCTGCCAAACAATAATGTGTGGCGCTTTTAAGACCTCGTCCTGACTTAATATGGTCGTTAATCCAATTCATTTGAACGCTCTGAAGCGACGACGTCAATTCGAACTATAGTCAATAGGTAAGAACCTAACGGTACACAAAACTTATATGTATTATTAAGTGGAGCTTTCAAGTAAATCTTAAGTACATTTCAAATTTCTTTTACAGCCCGAATTCGCAGCTGGCGAACGAGAATATCGCATCAATGTGGGTCAAAATAACCTCCTCTTGGATGTGCATCGGTCTCTACATTTGGACCCTGGTCGCGCCGGCCATTTTTCCGGACAGGGAATTCAATTAAATCATAAAAGTAACAATGTAGAATTTGATGGGTAGTCATCCAGTATAATATAAAATTATTGTCCCATTTAACTTTGTATGTGCGTAATTTATCATTTAATCATTTATACAGTTTTGTGAATTCTTCACAGATCTCAATTAATCTCTTCATACACTTTGCTTTTGTACTGTCACTGCTATCGTTTCATAATATCAATAATTTAATATTAATAATATGAATTTACCTTATTTTGTTTCAACACTTGTAATTATTGTGAAAAGACCCTATGCTTTTCTTGAGAATATTGAAAAAAAAAGTTTTTATTTTTTTTAAGTAAATACGTTGTCTTTTTATTAAATACCATAATTATGTTTTTGTCACCCAAATTTTTGTTTTATTTCTAGATAGCTATGTGGACCTCACGAATAAAAGAAAAAGAAAATACTGTTATATGCCTATGTTCTTAAATTGATACCCTAATGCCTGATAAAGTCTCGCGGTTTTATTTTTCAAAACAGTTAAAAAAACTCCATTTTTTTATTGCCCTTATAGGCAGACTAGCGTACGGCCCACCTGATGGTGAGTGGTTACCGTCGCCCATGGACTTCAGCAATGCCAGGGGCAGAGCCAAGCCGCTGCCTACCGCTTAATACTCTCCACAAGCCTCGTTTGAAGAAGGACATGTCATAGCGCTCGGGAAACACCGAAGAGGGGAGCTCATTCCATAGCCGGATGGTACGTGGCAAAAAAGATCTCTGGAAACNGGACTTCAGCAATGCCAGGGGCAGAGCCAAGCCGCTGCCTACCGCTTAATACTCTCCACAAGCCTCGTTTGAAGAAGGACATGTCATAGCGCTCGGGAAACACCGAAGAGGGGAGCTCATTCCATAGCCGGATGGTACGTGGCAAAAAAGATCTCTGGAAACGCACTGTGGATGACCGCAGTGGCTCCAGGTAGTATGGATGAACTCTACTCCGGTGGCGGGCGGTGCGATGGTAAAAACGAGATGCTGGTATCATCTCGAACAATTCCTCAGAACACTCCCCATGGAACATACGGTATAAAATACAGAGGGAACCGAAGTCCCTCCGCAGACCCAGAGGCTCCAAACGATCCGAGAGAATGGGATTATCGACAATCCGAACGGCCCTCCTCTGTATGGAGTCAAATGGAAGAAGCTGGTATTTGGGAGCCCCGGCCCAGAGATGGGAGCAGTACTCCACGCGAGGCCGGACTTGTGCTTTATAAAGCAAACCAAGTAGTACCAACGCGTTTTTTTTTTTTGTTCCTACCTAGCTGAGAGACTGGAGAGGCTATTTCGGCGTAACCTTAACTAGTAGGTGAGCTCACTGGGCTCTAACCTGACGACGTTGCTAACACGAACCCTAGCAAGAGCCGTGCTTCGCAGAATCTACCACCGGATCGGAAACGCGATCCACTGAGAAGATCCGGCGAGAAACTCAGTGGGCTGTGTCTGAGGGTTAATTTACTCGTCGAGCCCTTCGTCGCAAGTGACGGGTTCGACGAGAACGATGACCGGGCAACGAGTGAGCCTTGTGGGTAAACAAATATGGAGATCATAGAAGTAAGAGAAAATGCATACAACCCAAATTGGACAGTTTATTTTATTTATTATAAAAACAGGTGAACGAGCTGACGGATCATATGGTGTTAAGTGGCATTACTTTTTGGCTTATTCTCTGTTTAACATCTGTAAAAGTGTACAAGTGTGAAAAAATTAAATTAAATCATTGTATGTGGCTTTTCAGGCTCTTCTAAAAAGACCATTGAATTATCAACAAATTCACACCATTTTATAGAGTATTATTTCATTTCAACACCAACGATTGTTTTATCTTACCTCTTTGAATCACATATAATTTCATCCCATGCAGAATTTAGTTTTATTCCGCTCCGTTTCACTTTTCATAAACACACACAGGCTTGGTTGTTGTTACTAAAAATTTGGCTGCATATGGTTTTGTACCCTTCGTCTGTCGGATGGATAAACAAAAAATAAATGGTAAACACCGAATCAGCATTCACAATATTTTGCTAAAAGTAACTGAACCTTTCTGAAAATTATCAAAAGTACAAAAAAAGGAAGGAAAATGTTAGATAGACCGTCGCTTATTATCTTATATTTTGTTTTATGTACTATTAGCTGCTATTTTTGTGAACATTATTGCAGCGGCGCCGAAAACACGTGTAAAGAAGATAAAAATAAATATAGTAGAGGTAAAAAATTCTTCCCCATAAAATCACTATGTATTATTAAAAAAATCAATTTCGTTCGAAACGTATATTATTTTATTGATTTCCTTTAATTGGCAGATGGCTGAATTATCTCATGGCTCACTGAAGTACACTGGTTACTAGAGTCCGTAAATATCACACCTTTAATGCCGCTAAACGCACCAAGAAACATGAGGTCGAAATCCCTATTATGTTTTAAGACGCCCACCCCACCCTCCTAATAAATAATATTTAAATATAAATCTAATAATTATATTTCTTGCATTATACTTACAGTATATTATTGTGAACAGATGTAAATGAGTGGACTTCTAACTTAAAGAATGAAATAAAACGAGCCTTAGAACAATATGCTCCTTGCAAGAAAGAAAATTGTAGCTGTCATAGATCAGTAATTGATAGTGATCTGGCTCCATACCAGGATGGTATAACCAATGAAATGTTCATCTCAGCTCGAGCAAAGGGTACCAAGTACCAGGTATTCCTATTTAAAAAATATGTCCAAGGACTTTAATAATAATAGTCTGTTTTTGATTAATAAAATAATTGATTGTAAGGCACTGCTTCCCAGTCGTTTATTTTCGGTATCAGTAACCACATACAGCTTCCCATATAACTCCTTAATTCGGGTGGCAATTTTACACGCGGGGGGAAATGTCCTACTTTTCTTCCTTGGTGCACAATGTACTATTTCAATACATTGTGGCTCACTAAAACTGAAGAAATAGCATAATGTGAACTTTTTGAGTGTTGAGTAACATGTGAACGTCATCATAATATGGCCAGACAACCAATGAAGTGGACCGACAACCTGGTCAATATAGCTGGTAGGGACTTGCTGAAAGGCAAGAGATCGAAAAGAATGGAGTGCATTTGAACCTACACTAAGTATTTGGCAGGCACAGATTGAAGAAGACAAAATGTGAATGAAATGATGTGTGCATAAATTTTTATATACCCATGTTTGATAATTATTTTTATAAAAGGAGAACAAGTACCCATACCAATATACATACTTACTGCACAGGTATACTTTTAAAAATTAACCTTTATTAATTAAATTTACAGGTCATAGATGGCAAGTTGTACCGAGAGGAAAATTGCCATTTTCCAGCCAGGTGTGCTGGTGTTGAACATTATATGAAATCTTTGAATTTAAAGAAGCTGTCAAATATGGAAGTATCCATTAATACTAGAGATTGGCCACAAGTTAACAAACTTTGGGGCCAAAAAAAAGCACCAGTGCTCTCTTTTAGTAAGGTCAATTATTTATTATCTCATTAAACCTGTGATTTTCGAGAATAAAAGTATGTGAGTGATAGTTTGAAACAATAAAAATGTTCTTTTCTTACATTTCAGACACAAGACTATTATGATATTATGTATCCTGCTTGGAGCTTTTGGGAAGGAGGGCCAGCCATAGCACTATACCCCACGGGTATAGGACGATGGGATGAACATAGAAAATCAATTTCCCTTGCAGCCAAAAAGTATGACCAGTAATTAGTTTTATTTTATTCAGTATAACTTTAAAAACATTTAAACATTTTGGAGGAGAACTATTCCCAAAGCTAAAAACCTTTTAAATTACCCCCTCTGCAATGATGCACAACAATATTACTGTAAATTTATATTTATAGGATTCGAGCCCTACCATTAGCATCTTCTAGATATGAATATGTCACATTCTTTATGACAAGAGTGGTAATTATGTTGTAGACCACTTCATCATTACTGCATCTCCACAAGAAGTAACATGTATATACCACAAGATTTGNAAGCTAAAAACCTTTTAAATTACCCCCTCTGCAATGATGCACAACAATATTACTGTAAATTTATATTTATAGGATTCGAGCCCTACCATTAGCATCTTCTAGATATGAATATGTCACATTCTTTATGACAAGAGTGGTAATTATGTTGTAGACCACTTCATCATTACTGCATCTCCACAAGAAGTAACATGTATATACCACAAGATTTGAATAATTCTTATTGTGTATGTACCCATATAGAGTCTCATTGACAAGACCACAAACGCTGCATAATAATAACATGTTGTAAAATTAAAGTAATCATTCGTGAAATTCTTGATCGAAGATGAAAACATAAAAAATAACTATTTTCTGTGCCAAGTATAAATCAATAAACTTCCGCAATTAATATAAAAAAGACAAACATAAATTCTAAATACATATATGGATATATTTTTACTTTGGTGGCTATGCATGGTTCAAGAGTATGAACCCTACTGCGACATGCATTTCAGTTTTATGAAAAAGGTAGTTCTTATTACAATACATTAGAGATTGAACTCATGTCTCCAGTTTGGTAACAATAGGAACATTGTTCTATGATTATGATGACGATAATCACTAACTCCAAGGGAACTTCTAATTTTTCATCAAATGCAATAATAAAAAGATAATTTTTTTTAAAACAAAATATGCAGTAGGTATGTCAAAAATTCCCTCATCTGAAGATTGAGTGTTTGTTTTTTCTTGACAAAATTAATATTTTTCAAAAGATATATTTTTAAATTTAACAATTATAAAAAACAACTCGTAAAAAAATTAATTTCGTACATCCCAGGAACAGGTCTAGTAATTTGGATCTAGTATTTTGGATTAGTGATTAGTTGTTATTTTTATAGACAAAATTAATAATTTTCAAAAAATTTATTTTTAAATTTAACATTTAAACAATTAAAAAAAACAGCTCAGTAAAAAAATTAATTTCGTACATCCCGGAAACAGCTCCAGTATTTTGGATTAGGTTTGGTTTTTTCAGTTTATAGTTAATGTCTCTGAATAAACAATTTTACATAAAAAATGCCTTTTTTCATGCAAATCTCTTACTGGTGGTAGGACCTCTTGTGAAACCGCGCGGGTGGGTACCACCACCCTGCCTATTTCTGCCGTGAAGCAGTAATACGTTTCGGTTTGAAGGGTGGGGCAGCCGTTGTAACTATACCTATATGAGACCTTAGAACTTATATCTCAAGGTGGGTGGCGCATTTACGTTGTAGATGTCTATGGGCTCCAGTAACCACTTAACACTAAGCTAAAAACCTTTTAAATTACCCCCTCTGCAATGATGCACAACAATATTACTGTAAAT